TGCAAATGTACCACATGGTGTGTGGGAACTGGCGCTCGTGACGAATGCGATGCGTAGCGCTTATCCCAGAGTTCTTGCGCAGCACAAATCTGTGCGTCGAGGTCTTTAATCGTGCGCGCGCTGGGTGTGGAGGAAGTGAATGTTTCCCTACAGATAGCGCTGGCGAGATCATATAGCTGGAATTTGAAGAGTAAATACGACATTTGGGTTGGACCCGGGGAAGGAGTTTGGATATCTGTGAGAGTGATGTCGGTGTCGTTTACGTCGGCGGGGAGACGGACGGTGTTTTTGCACGTCCAAAAAGAATCGGTAATTCCGAGGGCGGTAGTTTGAATGGTATAGAGCATCATTAGGCCGGCCCAGCAACGACGTCGCTCTTCGCTTTGGATGGGATCGAGATGGAGAATGGAAGGATCGACATGGCAGCCTAGGGCAATTGCTACATGATATGTAGTACCTGAGCGTTCATCAGCGTCTGATTTCAGCACTCGTCTCAAAATATCACCAGATTGTGGGCTCTGGGAGTGCTCTCACCCAAAATGATCCAAGTCGGATCCTGATTATGATTCATCGCATAGACTAGCAAGATCAACGCCTGAAGTGACTGTACATTGTGCTTTCCCCAAAACACGCCCTGCTTCCCTAAACATTGCATCGCCCCCTCTCTATAACGCTTTCCCAGCACTCGTATATTCGCGAACGAATCTGCACCACGTCCCAAGTCGCGCAAGATAGGATCATTGTCGTCTAGGGTCGTCACAGCCAAGGCCAGTAAGACGAACAAGATCGCTAGCCAGGACGGCGATGTCGAAGCTGGATTCTCTACAAATTGCTGGTATTGGGAGTGGAAGGTTGGGTCATGTAGGATGTGGAATAACTATTTATGTCCCATAAATGTTATTAAAACCGTTTCAAAATCTGCTATGTTTACAGTATCAACTATCAAGTGAAGCTTACAGGAGACAACACCGAAAAGTACATATCCTTCAAATAGGTGCACTGGCGCGTAGGTGGCAAAATCGACAGCAACCCATCGATCGAGATCGAGGACGAGGATGCGGACGCGGAGAATGGAAATCCAACATCAGCAGGAGGAGAATCATCCGCATCGTCTAAAGAAGGCAATTCAATTGCGAAATTGGTATTCACAAGTACAGAGTTCCATTGTGAGATTTGGGGCGAGTAATGTACATTCCCATTAGGCAGGGCAGTTAAGACTCCCGTGTTTCGCGGGGTAGGGGGCGAATTCTCTAGCTGGGAGCTCGTCGAAGACGAAGATGTCGATTCAGGCATCGCATCGTATTGTGGAATTCCAGCTGTGGGCTCTTCAGGCGGAGAGAGTATAGTATTTTGCACATCTCTATCTTCTTTCTGCTCGCCAATTACATTTGAACTCGCATCAATATTAGCCCTAGAATATTTCTCCAGCTGCATCTCCAGACTGGCAACACGGTCTAGAAGCTCCTTGTTGAACGCAGAATTATTGTTATACTGCGTGTAGTCCCTCGAACCTGTGTAAAAACAGCTGCTTGCACATCCTCGTCGACGACATGTTTCACAGGGGGCGCGAGTGCGCGAGCATTTGATTTTGCGGCGACGACAGGGCTCACAGCTGATAGGCTGACGAACATTGTGGGGACGGACAGTTTGGATTCTAGCTTCGTTGGAGTGGTCCATAGTCTGTGGGTGGTTGACCCCGATTGGATTGTTGTTCTGATTGCAATTGAAGGAAAGTTTGTGTTTCCTTGACTGCGGGATGGGACGTCACGATAGCGAGCAGCACTGCTTTGTTGGAAGTTTTGAGGTTGTCAATGCAGTGCGATGCGGTACTTAACTTTAGCGTCAGGTGGGGATGGGACAAAAAAGGACTAGACTACCATTGAGCTAGACCATATCCCTAAGGGCATGAAAAATGACTTTTTGCACATTATATATATACCCTTTCGATACTAGCTCTTTCACCTTGAACAGAAAATCTTCGTTGTTCCCTGCCGGGCACGCCGGGTAACGGTTAATATCTGTCACGTCTGAGTCGGACTCTGGTTTACATAAACTCGATTGTCATATTTTATCATACTGGCTCTAACTCTTACAATTGTATTCATGCTGTTACATTTCCTCGTTTGAAAAGCAGACTGATTCCACAAAATTCACGCAATTGGATTAAGAAAATTGTACAATTGTTTAGGTGGAAATCTGGGATTAACAGAGTAACTCGAACTGCAGCATTAAAACATGAGATTGTTTATGGTAAAGAATGCTCGTATCATCCTCAAGCCTATGTCAGGAATTGTGACACTGCCTTTGCAACACCACTCAGATCCTCAAAGATATGCCAATGGCCAACTCCCCCCAGGGTGATTGCTTTCGCACCCTTGATTTCCGCCGCGTATTTTTCGCAAAGCTGGGGTGGCGATACCTTATCCTCGTCGCCTGTGACAATTAGGGTCGAAGTCTTGATCTGTTCGATCGGGACTGTCGCGCTCCACCCAGCAAGAGCCGTACATCCCTTAGCATATCCTTCAGGATCTTGTCCTAGCAAGGACATACGTACCGCGGCTATTGCAAGAGGATTGTCTGTTTTGGATTTGGTAGACGTGCCTGCGGTTGCGATGGCTTCCACAACGGCAGCCATTCCATTTGCTCTTACGATTTCCGCTCGAGAGATGGATCCGGCTTGGACGGCTTCAGGGAGGGGCGTGGGTGGTGGACCAAGGAGGATTAATCTCGAGACGAGCGAGGGATGCTCCAGAGCTAAAGTCAATGCCACAGTACACCCCATACTATGAGCTACGATTATTGCTCCACTGATTTTGGCATGCTGTGCTAATGCTACAAAGTCCGCGGCGTAACTTGATATAGAAATGGAGGAAGTCGCAATCGTGGGAGAGAGTCCGTGGCCTTCAAGATCCATGAAATGTAAAGAATGGGACTTTTCCAAGCCTAGTGCGTTGACCAATGGGGTATAAAACTCAGAAGAACCACCAAGACCATGAATGAAGATAATGGGCGGTCCATCAGCTTCGCCGGCATGTCGATAGTACAATTGTTTCGAATTGATTGTTGTAAGCCCAATACCGCCGCATGTCTTTTCAAGGTTGCTGATGGGGATGTGGGTAGCTTTGGCCACACGATCAACAGTCTGATTTGTAGATTGAAATTCTCCAATCTTGTTCCGAAGTACCCCAAGCCCAGTGATGGATACCTCAACCACATCTCCTGGTTTCAGGAAGATTGGAGGCTTCTTGCCAATACCGACACCTGCAGGAGTACCAGTTGCAATGACATCACCTGGCTGCAAAGTTTGTCCCTCGGAAAGAGTTTTAATAAGGACTGGAATTGAGAATATAAGGCTTTCAATAGTAGAGCTTTGACGTTGCTCTCCATTGACATGTGTTTGAACTCGAAGAGATTTTGGGAGCTTATTTGCAGGAACTGCAATTGGACCCTGAGACCAAGGTATCAGTCATTGACTCAAGTTAAAACGGAGTAAATATTACGTACCATTGGACAAAAGGTATCAGCCGATTTTCCAATGTAGAATTGCTTGTGGTCTCTTTGACGCTCCCTTGCAGTCATATCATTGATTATTGTATAACCCCAAACATGGTCCATAGCATCTGCCTCTTCAATCTTAAACCCTGATTTCCCAATTATGACACCTATTTCACCTTCGTAGTCTAAGCTTTCGGTAAACCCATCATGTGGATAAATCGCCTCTTCGCTCGCGATGATACTTGTGGCTCGCTTCGTAAATATAACAGGGTGTGTAGGCTGATCGACCTTGTCGCTAGAGTCATAGCCCGAAGTATTGAACTCTATAGCATGTTCGGCATAATTCTTCCCTACTGCAAGTATATCTCTTCCGTAAATAGGAGCAAGGAGCTCGACTGAAGACAGAGGGAATTCCTCGCCGGCAGGTTTGATCCGCGAGCTGCCAACCTCAATAACTTGATAAAGGTCTGTTATTGGAGCTCCGGACGTGAAGCTCAAAGGTTGGATCGTAGAATTCTCGAGTTCTAGATGCCCAATTCGCGATTGCCCAAGAATTTTTGGGTCGCGATATGCAACATAGTTTGTGAAACTATTATGGGAGTGCCCATTTTGCGCCATTCTGTGATATGTTTGAGGAAGATAAAAATGTCACAGTCCTCGAACTATCCGTATTGACTGAGAGTACTATTTGTATGATGGAAGAAATGTATGGGCGATCTACGTTTGGAGATGACACTTAATCCACCGCTTTTCCCACCCTTTTCAACACGCTAGAATCGATGAACCACACACCCGTACCGGCACTTAGTATAAAAAGTCTGCTGAAAGTAGTTGGTCTTTCGCTGCAAGACTCATCCTCAGTCATTCTAAGAAGTCCGGGAAATCCGCCCTCACCCCGCGTACAGAGCTAACGATGTAGCGTGAGTGGGGTATCCACCGATGCTGACCCACTCTCTCCGTCATGTCCGCTCACATATCCGAATCTAACATAAGACCCACCCAGGGACTATAATATGTGCTTAGCCGAAGACTAATTGGCCCACATGTATTTGGAGAAACAAACGGACTCGCCCCGCCATCTCCGTCCATCTCCGTCCATCTCCTTCTTCTAACATTAGCCAAGCACCTCGCGATATGCCCAAATCGCAGCGACAAGATTGTTATCATTTCAGCTAACCCTCCTCCTTAGTGTGAAAATAAAACCTGGAGTATGAAGTACACGGGTCGTCTTGGTCCAATCTAACCCTATCATGCTTTGACAATCGAGTACCTCCTCCCCTATCACTTCGCGTTGCACCCAATCGATAGAATTATGTTGAAGGTAATTTAGTCAAGCAATGAGGCAATCTCTCCAGTCAGTTCACTATGAAATTTAGGAGCTATTCGTAGTGCAAATCTATACATGGAAAATAAATGAACACATAAAGTTCAAGTGATGCTGCACAAGAGAATCAAGGCCAGACATTCTGGTTCTCTTCCTCAAAAATCCTTCGTTTATCATAGTTATGGTTCAAAACACAGCATCATTCGATCACGCCTCTAAGATTGAACAATCCAATGGCGAAAATTCCACACATCTTGAGAGGCTGCAAACTGATGGCGGGCATACGGACGACCGAACGCAGCCCTCTCTTCCTATTGTCCATCGACGATTTGCAAATCCTTCTCCGTTAGGATTGCTTTCTTTTGCCACCGGTTTGCTTCTTATATTCGTCACAGTGGAGATGTCACTCACAGATTCAGGCATATTCTTAATCTCCATATTCGGAGTTAATGTTCGCGGGGTAGCGACTCCTAATGTATTAATTGGCGTCCTGGTATTCTTCGGTGGAGTATGCCAATTCATCGCGGGTATCATGGAATTTTTTAGCGGCAACACTGTGGGTTGATGCCTCCAAGCATTCTTTGCATAAATTCTAACGAAATAGTTCGGAGCAACGGTGTTCCCCAGTTATGGCGCATTCAATCTCTCTTATGCCATGATATATCTACCGGGATCCGGAATCATGACAGCATATACCGATCCAGAGACTAGCCAACTCAATGATCAATTTCCAACTGCCCTGGCTATGTACCTATGGGCGTGGTTTATCCTAACTGTAATCTTCACCGTGGCTGCCATGCGCTCTTCTTGGATTCTGTTCCTGGATTTGGTTTTCCTAGATCTTGTTTTGATCTTGCTCGCGTGCGGCTACATGTTAGATATGAGGAGTTTAGAGACCGCCGGAAGCGCATTGGGTTTTGTAGTTGCTTTCTTGAGCTGTAAGTCATTCTTTCCTTTTTGACTACTTTCGTGCTCTAATTTGTGATAATGCAGATTGGGCTGGGACAGCTGGACTTTTTGCAAATGGTATCACCCCCATCAACATCCCCGTATTTCCAATGTACAACGGTATCTGAATGATAATGGTTACTTGGCATAGAAATAGTATTAATTAAACATTTTTAATGCTCAAGTATATTTTCTTACCTTAGCTTTGCTCCAGATTCACGATGATGTGAATGATTTAACCAGTGAACTATCAAGTTGGAGTAAACTTCTAATCAGCCTCAGATTTTAGAAACATTGTAGACATCATCAACCACAATCTATCTCGTCAAATGCTTCATTTTCATTCTTACATTTCCTAGCATTTGGATAAAGGAGCCGGGTTTGTGAGGTTCACAGCACCGGCATCACAACATACGTAGGTAGACATACACATCCGCATCCACACGCTACCCAACCCAAGTGGATTTTGTTCAAAACATTTAACCACAAGATCAATCTAAACTCGTTCTCTTACAGTGTTTGCGTGGCAACGACTGTACTTGCCATATTGTAGCACAACTTTAACCTCAATCAATCACCAATCACCAATCATTATCCCCAAGAGTCTTTAATCCAACCCATTTCACCGGCTCTGCATATTTATTCATTACGCCCTTCGTTCTCCCCACCCTTAAAACCCTCCCTACCTCCATATCCTTCTTCCCGTGAAACCGCCAAAATTGCCAGCTGCATTCGCTGCCTGCAAAGCCCTCTAAAATGCCTTCCCCGCCCGGGTGTTCCGTTGTGAACTCCGTGCAGTCATAGACTACTTCGTCTATCACTATTACTACTACCTGTCAGACTATGGTTCATGGAAGAAGGTATTGAGGGGGCTTTACGCAAACCACCCACTTCAGATGACGTTCCTTTTCTGACTTCAGTTGCCGGGATGAAGGGAAGTTCGGAGTCTGATACTTTGGGGGAAACGAAGGGGTACCTTTGAGGACGTGAATACTCTTTCAAGAACGCATTCTCCACGTGTTCAGTGGTAACCTTCAAGTCTTCTTCGAAGTGGAACTCCACTTTTGGCGCAATGTTTCCATTCTCATTTAAATTCATCCAACCCATGATGTCGTTTGAATTAGTTGGAGTGATGGGGAATAAAAGGTAACGACAACAGCATGAGTACAAACACCTCCATGTGAATTCTGTTCTCTAGAAACAGGCAGGGTTTCGACACAAGTGCCGCACTTTAATAAGTATGCTGAGGCTTCTTATTGTCCGACGCTGATCTTGCTCTAGATGAGCCATCTCATCTAACCCCACCCCCTAGAGAAGTAATCGGCTAATGAGAACCGACTAGGAACTACGATTAAAGTCTGAGCGTTTGGAGATGACAAGACGGAGAAGACGGAGATCTAGTGGCGACATGTGATTTGGTTAATAATGCACTAGTGAATTACTAAGGCCGATTTGAATTATTTGATACAAATCCCAAAAATAGATTTTTATTTAAGCTTAAATTGTATTTAGAATTTAATAATATATTTTTATATTGAAATATTCGATTTAATATATAATCTTAAAGGAATTAATAAAACAAAAAAAAAAATTCTATTAATTAGAATTCAAAAAATCGATTAATATAATTATTTTTGAATTATCTCAAAAATTGAAATTTATATTCAATATAAAAATATTTTAATGAATTTTAAAAAAGATTAAATTTCAATATTTAATTTCTTGTTTTTCAAATATTATTAAATTGAATATAAATTTCAATTTTTGAGATAATTCAAAAATAATTATATTAATCGATTTTTTGAATTCTAATTAATAGGATTTTTTTTTTTTTTTTTTTAATTTCTTTAAGATTATATATTAAATTGAATATTTATATTAATATTGTATATATTAATTGAAAGTAATATTAATTATATAATTTAAACAAAATAAGCTTGAGTTTGAATTTGAAATAAATATAATAAGGAATTTCTATTTATTAATTATGTAATTTAAATAAAATAAACTCAAACTTAAATTTGAAATAAGGAATTATTATTAAGTTTATTTTATTTATTTTAAAATAATCTATATATTATAAAGAAAATTATTTAAAAAAATATTTTAAATATTAATATACTTTTTATAGAAAATTTTGAAATGAATTCTAAAAATATATAAATAAAGCTAATTCTAAAGATTATTTAATAATATAATTTATTTTACAAAAAATCTTTAATAAGATTGAATTCAATTGTTTTTTATAAGATTTTTATAAATATATTATATAGATTCTAAAATTTCTTTTTTCATTAGATAAAAATCTATTTTTAGGGTTTATACTAAATGATTCAAATCGGCCTCAATACGCTTTGTATACCCTTCCGTTGATTGTAATAACATTCAACCGATTATAATCTTGTAAAATGGTAATATCTTCTAACGGATTCCCATCGACCAGAATACAATCTCCGTAAAAGCCAGCTTGAATCTTACCCAGCTCATGATCCCTCATAAAAAGTTTTGCGACCCCTGCTGTTGCCGCAATTATTGATTCCATGGGCGTGAAGTCAAGCAGATTGACGAAGTGTGCTAGATCCCGTGCGTAGGTACCATGTGGCGTCCACGCGAAGCTATAGTCTCCGCCAGGGAGGACCACGATTCCACGCTTGTGCATCTCACGGAGACCATGGATCGCTGCGTCGAGCTCTTTTTGGTAGCCAACAGACTCGGCCTTTTGGTGCGTATAGCCAAACGCAGCGGCGTTGTTTACTAGTGGAATTAGTAGTAACAAAGTGCTTGGGTGTCGGAAAATACTTACGAGTGGCAATAAGCCAGTTTAAGGCAGGTGCTACAATGTGCTTGTCTTTCTTTGCATCTAGCATCTCCATTCCCTCATCATCGATGTAGGATGCGTGATATATGACATCGACGCCGTGTCTGATGCACATCTTGATCGAGTCGCGTGCCCTTGCATGAGCACAAAGTCTTGCACCCAAGCTGTGGGCTTCATCCACGCAAGCTGCTGTTTCGTCATCGGTATAGTAGCAATCTTGTGCCGATCTTGTTTCAGTAATCTGTTGATGTTAATCTATTTATTTTAAACAAAAGTATGAATGTAAGTAGACGGACCTCTTCTCCACTCATACTTAATTTGACTTGATCTACACCAATGTTGACATGATGTCTGATCACCTCTCTCATTTCCTCAGGTCCGTCGGCATAAGCTGTGATGCCTGCAACCAAATCACCATCTCGGCGGGCCATTTCCTTACCATTGGCAAGATATCTCGGCCCTGGGATATCACCTGCGTTGATAGCATCTCGAATAACTACGTCGAGTCGTTCCTTTGCTGATGCTGCACCAAAACACCTGAAAACCAATCAATCTTCGGATCAAAGTAGAAAGGAAGCTCAAGTAATGTCACCTACATTGTGTAACCAGAATCAAGGTAACACTGTGCACTCCTTGCAGTCAAAAGCACATGTTCCTCAACTCCCAAGTCTCCTAACCTATTCAAATCCCCTCCATTCCACGACAAGTGTGTATGAGAATCTCCCAACCCGCTCATCAGCGTCCTTCCGCGACCATTGAATACGCGGACTCTATGGTCCTTTTTCAATTCCTCGACATTATCTACAACTCCTACCTCACTGATCCTTTCACCTTCAATCAACACATCGCCACGGTATGGATCACGTCCAGTAGAATCAAGAATATTCACGTCGAGAAAGAGGAGCTTAGACTCAGGGTGAGTACCTAGTATTTCGTAGTATTTCGGCTGGAGAGATGAGTCAAATTGGATATTGTTGATAGTAGCAATATTTCGTGGGGGTCCGCTATATTCTTCGGGACTCGTTGGTTCCTCTCGGAAACTGGGGCTCGGCGACCCGATTCGGGATGGTGCCATAGTATGGTTTGAATTAAGCTGAGGATAAGGTGATGATAATATGAGGAGATAGGTAGTTCTCACGATATATGTATTTTGAGGATACCGTTACAAGGTACTTGTGCTGTTTTCCCAGTTTATATTTATATTCAAAGTGTGACTACTTACAGTATAACAATAACTCAAGCATGGAAAGCTAACTATCAAAACCGGGTGACCGGACCAATGAATAATAGGTAGTCGACCGCTTGGAAGAGCCGAATATTACCTATCGACCATAGCATTTACTAAGATGGAATGAAAAGGTCTCACGCAATTGCGGAGTTAAGAATTCGCCGGTAGATGGAATTTGTGGATGTGGCTTCATTAATACAGGGTATAATGCGAGGTCCATTCTACTAAAGCCGATTTGAATCATTTAGTATAAACCCTAAAAATAGATTTTTATTTAATAAAAAAAGAAATTTTAGAATCTATATAATATATTTATAGAAATCCTATAAAAAATAATTGAATTTAATTTTACTAAAAAAAATTTATAAAATAAATTATATTATTAAATAACTCTTAGAATTAGCTTTATTTATATATTTTAGAATTCATTTCAAAATTTTCTATAAAAAGTATATTAATATTTAAAATATTTTTTTAAATAATTTTCTTTATAATATATAGATTATTTTAAAATAAATAAAATAAACTTAATAATAATTCCTTATTTCAAATTTAAGTTTGAGTTTATTTTATTTAAATTACATAATTAATAAATAGAAATTCCTTATTATATTTATTTCAAATTCAAACTCAAGCTTATTTTGTTTAAATTATATAATTAATATTACTTTCAATTAATATATACAATATTAATATAAATATTCAATTTAATATATAACTTTAAAAGAATTAATAAAATAAAAGAAAAAAGAAAATCCTATTAATTAAAATTTAAGAAATTGATTGATATAATTATTTTTGAATTATCTCAAAAAATTAAATATTGAAATTTAATTTTTTTTAAAATTTATTAGAATATTTCTATATTGAATATAAATTTCAATTTTTAAAATAATTCAAAAAGAATTATATTAATCGATTTCTTCAATTCTAATTAATAGGATTTTTTTTTTATTAATTTCTTTAAAGTTATATATTGAATCGAATATTTCAATATAAAAATATATTATTAAATTCTAAATACAATTTAAGCTCAAACAAAAATCCATTTTTAGGATTTGTATCAAATAATTCAAATCAGCCTTAGTAAGCGGGGAGAAAGGAATATGTACTCTCACCGATCGCGGGCCAGGATGAAAATTCTCACCCTATTGTGCCAGATTTTCCAGAGTTGAAGGCCTCGATGCAGAAGAACTATTAGCAGCGTACATATTATTCCGATCGAACACAACTTGATAGTCGCTTAATATTGCAAAGCTGAGATTCAAATCATTATCATTTGGCAAGTGAAATATACATAAACGATGCACCACAATATGATTCGCAACACCCAACCCTAGTACTTTATTCGTATTCAGAGAATCGGTTGATATACCAAAGTATTTCTTTAACTTGTTCGAGATCTTCTTTCTGTTGCATCAATAACTAACAGTGGTTATCCTCACTCTTCTCAATTTACTCATGAGCCTGCGCTCGTAGCGGGCGAATTGAATTAACAACTCCAGGATATAAAATGCCTCAAATTTACTAGCAATACCATTCAAAGAAAGATATGCAGATGTTGTTTTCTTTGAGTTTTCTTTGTAAAAGTATTCTTGATAACTATTCTTCATTGCCACAATTGACTTTGATGATCTTGAACCATAATAGGGATGTAAACATCGTTTCTTCTGAATTGATCAAGCATATCCATAATCCTTCTCCAAATTGAGCCCCGCTTGTCTGCGCTGATCTCAAATGTCCTGTGACCTGCAGCCTGTTAGCCTGTAGCACCTTCCTCTCACCAATCCGTGGCTACGGTAGTGACCTTTCACAGTCCACTAGTAATCAGAGCAATAATTTAACGTATACAGTCGTTAACTTTGAGTAATATCGCCCTGTAACCCCTAAATACAGCCAGGTCAAATTCGAAGATAGGCTGAGCATACTAGAACAATTGTCAGTCTATTAGATTTTGTACCAATCTATCGACTTACATTCAATACCAAGACCTCGTCCCACAACTAAACTTTGTTGCTCTTCGCCCCACGAATCGCCTTCGCCTTTGGGATAAACTAAAGCAGTATCTCCAATCGATAATGCCATCATAGGTCGGATTTGAGGACACATGGCTAGTGTTATAGAACCTTCCTTCATCTGACTGCTACATATTTGACGGACAATGTTTGTGGCAACATGTTGACCCATTATGAATGCGTTGCCCACTCTCTTGATGCCACACCACGAAACCACATCACCGGCTGCATAATGAAAATCTGCGTTCACTAAATCTGACGGAAACTGGAGCCTGAGAAAGTTTAAAACAGGATCTTTTGGAGGCATATTAGTGGAAACTCACGTAGGTCGAACATTTATATACCCCTGTGAGTTGAGTGCCTTTCTCGGGAGGAAGTCCGTGCGGGCCAGGTGAGGCGAGTTTGTGTGTATTACATGATCTGCTCCGAGACGAAGTCCGTTCGACAATGTGAGCATGCTCTTGAATCCTGATCGACCACCATCTAGAATCTTGTCAACCCTACAACTCAACAGAAGCTGGATACCCAGTCCAGCAAGAATATCAGCTGCTCGCTGTTTGAATCCGATGGGGAGAGGCTCGGCGTGAAGAAGGTGTGGACGAGATTGAATCAGATAAACTTCCGTGCTTGGGAAATTAGCTTTGATCTCTGCAGCAAATTCCACACCAACAGCGCCTATATTGAAATGTGATGTTAGCATTATTTAGTATTAGCAGGCGATCACTTAACATACCTCCACCAACTATCACCACTCTTTTTGAGCCACGCAAGCTCTCGATGTTGTCATGAATATCTCGCAGGTACTCCTCCCTTTTTGATGATTGTGGCACTACCGGCCAATCTCTACTTGTTCCTGTCGCCACAACCAAGTAGTCGTAGGGGATGTGCTTCGATGGGCTAGTAGAATTCTCCTGGTATGTGGCGACTCGAGACGCCATGTCAATTGAATCTACTTTTCCCTGAATCGTACGGACATTGTAACGATAAAGAATGGGTATATCGTCAAATCTCCTCCAAGCTTCCGATGCGAAGTCTGAATTAGAATGGACTAGCGGTGATCCCATGGTATGATCTAAAGGGGAATCAGGTTAATATTTGGCGCCAGAAAAATATGGACAATTACTGACATATTCCATCTCGTTCGTCGAGGTTTGTTATCCGCGGAGTTGTCCGAATCGTGCAGTCATCCAGTGGGGGTGGAGGAAGAGGTGAAGCTAATTGAGGATTTCCCTCCATCAAATTCAACACATTTGTAACGACGGAGAACCCTCCATAGGCGCCACCGATGACCAGGATGTGCGGCTTTTGCGTTTCGTTGGTGTTGAACATGGGAATTATACGGCGCTTGGTAAGCGAAAGAGATCAAATCGAGGATGACTTGATTGAATTGTTGAAATAAGAAGAGACTCTACGATATAATGCGATAGTCTTTAAAAAATTCACCATTGCCTTCCGTTTTTTACGAGCCAAAGTTAATACTCTGTGACCTTATAGTGTCTACAGAAACTATGTGAGCAATATATATAACGTACCCTAGCAGTATGTGCTAACGAAGATACGAATCTAAAGTCGTTTTGAGCTAGCGCACACCGGTTAGAAGCATGGCTATTAGCCCACGGAGTTAACGTCGTTCATCTCGCACATACCGAAGGATATGACTTATATCCGACATCCGACTGTTCCGACCTCCCAGAGAGCATCTCGAGTAATCCTGGCTGTGTGGACAATGAGTCAAAGGATACTTTGCGATCTTGAATCGAAATCGGCGTCTGACTTGGTACCTCTCTCTAGTTTCAGACCTAGTTACGTTTTAGATCTTAGTGGCTAACGCTAATAGCCAAAGCCCATCTAATACACCTACCCGCCTACCCGATGGATATCCGACCTCTTTCTATGTTCTAGCGCCATGCTCACTCATTTCCATTTTGTAAAAATCCCCGGAGCTATTTTCTAGTCTCCACTTGCCTGCGGCAGTATAGAAAACCTGGTGATCGCGTCTGCCAGTCATAACTTTGATTCGTTGCAATCCCCAATACACATTATCAGAAGATTGGAAGCCAGCATGAATGCAGAACTGGGCAATACAAGTGTTCGTAAGAAGACATCGTCATAAGTTATCAGAGGAAAGTAGTATCGCAAGCAATGATTCCCTCAGCCCCGATTGTTGAGCCCGGCCTGTATCCTCGTTGAAGGTTGACAGAAGGGACTTTTTCAAGAGCGCTTTGTCGAATGAGAACTGTTTCTTTGCGATTTTGATCCATAGCAATGTTCCATCTAGAACCCACCCCTCAACCTTTGTCTCATTGTGAAGTGAACAATAAAGAATCCGAATTGATTCTAATGCGCTTTCCCCCTGCCTTTTTGTCTTGGTCCAGGTCGGGACGAAAAGACGAAATGTGATGGCATAAAGCCGACATACTCCTTGTGTCGGCCATTTAGCATTTCATGTATTTATGGGAAGCCTGGAATGATTAACAGGTATGTCAGGAGTCATATGAGTTCGGTGGCTTGGATAACATTATCTGCAGTCTTCCTCATTATACAAGAAGGCTAAGTGGGAACTCAGAACTGCGATGGTTACTGCTCACACAAGTTAAAAAACGCTTCGCTGTTGGTTATAAATTACATACGCTGTATATCTGTGCATTGGAGATAGAGCATGTAATCATGATGGTTAAAATGGATTTATCATCAACATAACAAGCAGCCTAGAGCTTAGTATTATACTATTCAATTCTAATTTGAAGAAAGATAGATGAAAGAAAGCTTATTACGTTCTCAGAATGTTGTTGAAAATAAGAAACGGATAACAGCGGTGGATGAGGAGCTTTGGTGGGGTGCCGTTAACGCCCACTGGGACTGCGTAACACATCTTCTTGTCCCCCAAGTCCAGCGGCTGCCATCTCTTAATGAATATCATTTCGACCAATCAGATTGCTAGAATCTGTTCCTGGTATACGCAAATGAGGGTTATACAGTAATTACACCCCTCCACCATGCACTATTCCATGATCTCATTCTATTTCGTTACATTGGATTTGGACGTAGATAGTAGTAATCAGCTGGTATGGTATCTATCAGTCTGAGAGCCTCTTCGAGCTTAAGATCAAGAGGAGATTAAAGATTGAAGAACTCAAATGAATTCAAGTTCACAACTTCAGAAATCTTGTCAACAATCCAAACCCATTTCTAGAGTATATAGTCCTCCAGTTCAACTAAGAGTTCATACACACCCTAGCACATTTGGAAGCCTCGCCAAATTCCCGAAATCGATGAAGCCGATATGTTGCATGATATCAGCCGGGCAGTTTATCGGCATTAGCAAATTCGGAAACAGAATCCTCGATCAAGGAACGAGCAAATTACCGATGCACAATGATTTTAATGTCAACAATCTTGCATATCCTTATTTGATGCTCTAGATTATAATAATACAAAAATTGCGATTTTAACCCGGCCTTATCATACTGGCATCCTTTTTTTAGATATTATCTCCTCCTGCAAGACAAGTATCCAAGCCCAATAACTATAATTCGCAGTTTTGTTGCACAGTTTCTGGAGTACTACCTATCAACTCCTCATACGCTCGCGGATGGCATAAGCCTCAATAGCGTTGATGCCGGAGATATTCAACAACTGTGCAAACTACTTGTATGCCTAGCCCGGCAGCTACCTGCTACAACTATTGTCTTCCGTGTGATTGGCAGTGTTCAATTTTGTAAGCGAGATTAGTGTTGGAAGATTTGCATGAGGTATTGTGTTGCCTAGGTACTTGAGCTAGTATCGTAGAGGATGATAGGAATAGGATAAGTGCCACGCTTAAAATTGTTTTGACGAGTCCCAAACCAACCACGAGATTGTGGAAGGTTTCTGAAGTCGGAACTTCACTGTTAAACATGGCGGCTATCTCAAGAAGCGATCAGGGTCCTAGCCAAGTGCGATTCCAACGAGAGCTGACTAGTTTAGGGTTGTTGAGTAAAAATATTATGAAAAGCTCAAGGTTTGAATTATAAATGGATTTTCTAACAATATCAAATGAAACTCTCATGAATCCAATGAATCTCCATCATCCCCATTTCGTCTCCGCATGTCTTATAGTAAAAGAGAAACCTGGAATTGACTAATCCAATTAATGACACGATAGCAGCGTGAATACTCAACTGATATCCGTCATTCGACACCTGGGCATACAAATAAAGATGTCAAAAACGATTCAACGTATTCACTTCCCGAGAACACTTCCCGAGAACACAGTTCCCATTCCCATCATTCACTATAACCTGCGAATCCCACATCCATACCTCAAATGCAATGTTTTGCACCCATTAGGATAGCTATTGCTTCGCACAGGGGAGCATTTCCTGGTAAGATTACATCTCTATATCAACGGCAAGATCACAAAATAATACACCATGTCAAACTTATTTTCCCATTCAAACAACCAACCTTACAACAAATCAGTTCCAAAACTATTGAAGGGATTATGAATGTGAAACCAAATCAAACTTTGTTTGCCTTCATCCAGCATGCTATCTCAACAATATTTCCTGTGCATCTAACCAATCTAGTGAACGAGTGTCTTGAAGAGACAATCTGAAGAGACCCACGACCCTCAGGATTGATGTCCAACTTGCCAAGTTAAGCAACAGGAATAACTCATTATTCAAAGAGCGCCGAAAATCACCTGCTTTTCGTTCGATTCTGTAGAATGAAGCACCTTCTCAATTACTCATATCAAATAGATTAATGGGAACACGACCTCGTACTGTGTACAGCCATTTTGGTATAAACACTTGGATATCACTCAATACAAGCTCGTAGTCTATCGAGGATAAGATCTCTCGGTCTCATGTAAAAGTAAATCTTACTTAATTTGAGATGAAAGAAAGAGAAATGAAGACAAGTGCTTTCCGAGAATGATTTCCCAGTGCCAGCAACACACGACCTCTGAAGTGAGTTGACACACCAGTAGACTTCTACCAGTACCTTTCCCGAACACAATATTAGGTAAAACAGTCATCCTCACAATCTCACAAAATTTACATAAAATTCAAAAGGCACAGACAAACTTGGTAGGAGTGTAACATATTAATAATTAAAATCCACCTCTCCTTGTATTCCCTAACAAACACAAGCGATCAGATCCATGCCGATCAGGTCCAACCAGACCTTCAAACTCTATGCTAATGCTACCAAATGCCATTCCATGCTTATGTAACGTTAACGTTGTCACGTATATCCACCCAGTCCCAGCGTATATGCACTTCAAATAACTCAGGGTATTCCCGTGCCCAAGTCCCAATCCATCCATCCATCCCAATCCTTCCTGTCAAAAAGACATCTAACCCAATTCCAGATGGCAAAAGAAATCCAGATTTGTTTTTTCATCCTGAAGATCAAGACTGTCCTTTTGACATCTCTTTCCACATCCCCATCCATGATGTGATGTGATATGATTGAACTCCAATCTAAACGCCCAATAAACTCCTTGCGATGCAAGATGTGATATACTGCAAACTCTCATGATCATGAGACGCCATTCTCAAGTTCGATAAGAGCAAAAAAAAAAAAAAAAAAAAAAAAAAAAGACGAAAATTCATCAATTGATACAAAGAAAATCGTAAACCAAACAAGCCATTTTCTTCCTTCCTTCCAATAAACTCCCGATCCGAAACCAGAATGAGAAGTGCCGAAGAACTTCACGCAGTAGAGAGATTCTTTTGACCACCAAAGTATCGTGTTAAGAAGTTACCCTTTGACTTCTTGGCCGCGCGACGCTTTTCCTCTGCCATTGCCATGTTATCATGATGAGCCATGTTGTCAATTTCGTAGGGAAGCATAGGTCTGAGCTTTCCATCAGCACCGGCAACTTGGACGGTAACAATATCGCGAGCAGCACCCGAAGGGGAGTAGGTATCGCATTGCATGGCATCGTTCTCGTCAAGGTAGCTGCTGACAGATGATAGAGGTGTACCCGAGCGAGATAATTCGGAGATGTAAGATGAGGCGGAAGAGGACATGGCGTCGAGGGTATCGGCGGTACCGCTTCGAGTAAGACCGGGAATCTCGGATGAGGATGGTGGTGAGTAGTGGTTGTATGGGTCTTCGGTAGTAAAGAGGGATTGTTGTTCACCGTAGTATGGCATGTACTTTTCTTCGGTTGTTGGGATCCAGTATCTTCCGGCTGAATCAAAGGACATGTTTTGCATTGCGAGGGCTTCTTGTTCTCGTTGAGCTTGTAGACGTGCTTCGCGAAGGCGGTATTGTTCTTGCTTTCGATCCAAGTCAAATCGGATCGGTGTGAGGAAGGGCTCCAAATGAGTATAGAG